AAGGGGGAGAAGGAGAAAGAAAGGGGAAGAGGGAGAGAGGGAGAAAGAAAGGGGGAGAGGAGAGAGGGGAGAAGCGAGAGGGAGGGAGAGGAGGAGAGAGATGAGGGGAGATAGATAGATAGATAGATAGATGAGAGAGAGAGAGAGAGAGAGAGAGAGAGAGAGAGAGAGAGAGAGAGAGAGAGAGAGAGAGAGAGACAGAGAGAGAGGCGAGGGAGAGGAGGGAGAGGAGAGAGGAGGGTAGATAGATAGATAGACAGATAGATGTGGAGAGAGAGAGAGAGAGAGAGAGAGAGAGAGAGAGAGAGAGAGAGAGAGAAGAGAGAGAGAGAGAGAGAGAGAGAGAGAGAGAGAGAGTTATGGAAATAGCGATTTCTTTGTCAGTGTGGTCTTAATCACCACCATTATTATAATTATTTTCATAGTAGTTGTATGTTTACATATTTATATTATTATTATGTATATTTATGTATTATACATTATCACTCTACCCTCGACGGTCGTTATCACAAACATCATCATCATTAACTGTCGCTGTTTGTAACTGATCTGTTTCTCTTTCTTTTCCTTCTCGCGTTCTCCCACCAGGACGAAAAGGAGATCAAGGAGAACCAGAAGAACATGGTGATCACAGACCAAGGACTCAACTTCCCATATTTACTAACTGGCAACACAGGCGAATATAAATGCGTGGTTGGTATTCATTCTTTTAATGTTTTTTTTTTTATATCCGTTCGCGTTTATCTTGAGCGAAAAAAGGGGGGGGGGTGTTTTAAATCAGAGTGAGTCTCATAAATGCTTCGTGTAATATGTGTTTTTCTACAATATTAGAACTATTACTGCCAAAGTATCTTGGTTCTAGATTTCAACCCATTTCGCGCTATATATATATATATATATAATATATATATATATATATATATAATATATATATATAATATACATACATACATACATACATACATACATACATACATACATACATACATACACACACACACACACACACACACACACACACACACACACACACACACACACACACACACACACACACACACACACACACACACACACACACACACACACACACACACACACACACACACACACACACACACACACACACACACACACACACACACACACACACACACACACACACACACACTCACACACACACACACACACACACACACACACACACACACACACACACACACACACAGTATATATATTATATATATATATATATATATATATATATACTATATATATATATATATATATATATATATATATATATATATATATGTATATATGTATATATATATATATATATATATATATATATATATATATATATATATATATATATATATTATATATATATATATATATATTATATATATATATATATATATATATTATATATATATATGCATGTATGTATGTATGTATACTCGTGTATATATATATATATATATATATATATATATATATATATATATATATATATATATACATATATACATATATATATATATATATATATATATATATATATATATATATATATATATATATATATATACGTTTATATATTTTTCTTTCTTTCTTTTTCCGTATTTGGAAGTAACAATTTAGGCGTAGTGTAATTGAAGCGTAATACGTACATCAAGATCAGGGGTTCTCAAAGGGGTTGAAATCGGCTCCCAGGAGACCCCAAGGAGCCCATGAATAACCAAAGGGGCCAGTGAAGGTTTCCTGGGGGTCGAAGGGACCATCCAAGCCCCCAGTCTGAAGCTCTCGATAATAACGTGTAAAATCCTGAAGAATATCAGACATTGTTAGAATAATATATAATATATAATATATATATATATTATATATATATATATATATATATATATATATATATATATATATAAATTTCCCAAATTGAGACAATAGGTCGAAACTTAATCTTAAGAAATTTCAAAAGTCTGCTGACGCTCTTCTGTCTGCGTCCCGCTTTGAGTGAGAGGCACCCCCCATCCCCCTCCGCCCAGAGGGACTTAAGATTGAGTACAGTTGACAGAATGATTGCTGTTTCCTTTTCATCATATTGTATTTCAACTACTATCACTACTACTGCTAGTTATAGAAGGACTGCTAGCACTACTACTACTATTGCGCATATTGATTTTATCATATTTTTTTCTTCCTGAATCAAAAGCTGGCAGAATATTTGACTCTCCATGGTTCGATTAGTTAAAAAGTTTGAGAACCCTTGTCAAAAAAAAAAAAAAAAAAAAAAAGGCGTTTAGATGAAAGAACGTGCCTTACCATTATGCTGAATTAAGAAAAAAAAATACCATAGTGTTATTTTTCTAGTAGCAGAATGGCCTCTGATTGTCTTTTATTCCCACAGGCGAAGAATCGCGCTGGCAGCATCGAGGCCAGGACGTTCGTGCAAGTGACAGACCCCAACACGCCCTTGAGCCATAAGACGATGGTTATCATTGTGTCAGTGTCCGGTTGTGCGTTGCTCTTCGTAGTCGTGTTCGTCTGTGTAAAGATTTATAACCGTAAGGTAAATATTGATATCTTTTTCGTGTTATGTTATGCTATCAAAATTGCTTCTTGGGGATTGTTTTGGCTAATCTCTAAATATGCGAATGTTGGCGGTGGTCGCTCCAGATAGGTAGGGACGAAATCAAAAACAGAAAGTAAATTCAACAATTTTTCCAAAACAGTTACCTTTTTTATATATAAAAGAGGCGTTTGGTGACGAGAAAAGGGATATTTGTTGGCATAAAACAATGGGATTAAAACACCGTAAGCTATATTAAGAAATAAAAAAAATCTTTCTGTAAGGAGACTGCATTTCGGCGACGTCTGTTTATAAAAGGAGAACAAAGGGATATTTGCTTGGTGCTCGGGCTCTGCTCTTTCAGTCTCAGTCTCCTTCAAAGCCAACTCGTGATCAGCCACACGTCAGCCCCTTCGAACAGCCGGTCGCTGGCGAGGGATTCAACTCCCATTCTCCTCGCCAGAGACGCTTGTATGCTCTGCGCCTGGAGGATCACAGGATATTCGTTCGAGGGTCTCCCGAGAGGCTCAACCCACAGCTCGGCCTCGACCAGCAGGTAGACCTCCTGCCTTATGATACCAAGTTTGAAGTACCGAGGAATTCCATCATTTTTGGTAGGTGCTCTTGCTCCTTTCTTTAAGTCTCTCTTACTCTCGTTTGTTGTCTCCCTCCTCCTATACTCTCTTGCTCTCATTTTCCTCTTTTCAAATGCTGTGCAGACATACCCTTCAAGGAAGTACAAAAGTGCCGCCCATGCGCCATTTCCAGCCAACACATTAGGAAAGACCGCCTGCTCACAGCGTCCGCCTCACCCCGGCCCGCTCTTCCGCAGGACAGCTTCTGGGATCGGGTGCTTTCGGCCAGGTGTACCGCGCCACCGCCCTCGACCTCCGGCCGGGGAAGCCGCGCACCACGGTGGCCGTCAAGATGGCGAGGTCTCACGCCGACAGCGCCCAGCTGAAGGCACTGCGCTCGGAGCTCAAGATCATGGTGCACATCGGCCGCCACATGAACATCGTCAACCTGCTGGGCGCCTGCTCGAGGGACTTCGCGGCGAAAGGTAGGGCGGGTTCCCGCGGCCGAAGATGGAGCCCAATTTCATCGCAGGCGATCCCGTAGGCGTATGTTGGGTTTGAGGTTTGAGGTATCTATCGCGTTGAAATGCACGGTGTTACTGCCATCATTACCATGTATTGTCCACTTCCCTGTCTCCTCTTAGGCGAACTACTGCTCGTAGTCGAATATTGCAAGCATGGAAACATCCTTGACTACATGAGGCGGCGCCGCAAGGAATTCGTGGACCAGATGAGCGAAAATGCTGGTTTGGGTTCAGGGCAAGTTGCCAATAGCAGTAATCAAGAGTTCCAGTGAATAAAACAGTCAAAAAGGGAGTCAGTAAGATGAAAGGATACTTGGTTTCCTATGAGAATCACTGAGCTCGAGGAAGCGCCATCACTGACTCTCGTTCTGCAGGGTAAGGACATCGAGCGCCCTCAAGAACGCCCACCTCCACTTCGGGCCGGAAGCCGTGTACTACAACAGCAGCCGCAGTTCCAACGGCAGTCACTGCGGAGAGGCGCCTTGGTCGAGCGGCGAGCGCGGGCGCCCCTCGGCGGGTTTGCGAATGAGCTCGGCCTCCTCCAACTACCGGCACCTGGCGTCAGACATGAGCACCGTTACCTGCGGTAAAGTACTCGGGTCCAGGGCGCAGTTCCTGCTTATGACTTGTTTTCATTCGCTTCCTTTTTCTAATATGCGATATACTTGTTGGATTACGCAGCTTCATATCTAAAAGTACGATTTTCTTTGTCTCTTGCACGCTACAGCTGCAATGGGGACGGCGTGCGTTTATAATCAAACAGCTGTTGGATGATTTCAGGCGTGTGATTATTTTCGTTCCTGTACACATTCTGAGAAACATTTATAAGGCTGCATCACCACACGATACTTTTTATAGATCACCAGCACTTGTTGGAGTTGGGAGTTACATCTGCAAATGTTTTCCTCATCGCCGAGGCAAGAACGTTATCAGTTGCATCAGTGAAATGTTTGATTAATATCCAAACAATTCTGCAGAAAGTAGCCTTGGATTTTCGGAAGACCTTTTGCCGTGTGGTCGCCCAGGAACTTCCGAGACGAGCTTCTGTTCCCGAAGTCTGCTGCTGTGGGCCTTCCAGATCGCCAAAGGGATGGAGTACCTCGCTTTCAAGAAGGTAAACAACTTTTTTTTTTTTGGAGCGAACGGTAATCTGTTCTCTTCGTAAGGAATTTAGAAATAGAAAGGAATTTATCAACTAAATGTTAAATTTCCGGTTTTCTTTTTGAAATAAAGGTTCTTCATGGAGATTTGGCTGCAAGGAATATTCTTCTGACAGAAGATAATGTTATCAAGATCAGTGACTTTGGATTAGCGAAAGACATCTAC